TCTTACACTGCTAAATTAGGGACGGCTAGCGCAGATAGCCCTCGTGTAGCTTTGCGCGAAATTCAAAACAAACAAAACTAGCTTTACCTCAATGTCCTGAACTCGAATGTTCTTGAACAAATTAATTACAGTTCACCAGCTTATTTAGTTTATACCGAAACAGTTGTTCAAGCAATTGATATGAATAGCTTCTCGACTAGAACTACATCTATTGTATCTCAGTTGACCTGTTGAGCTCTGATATTGGACCAAAGGCCTCGTCGACACTGCATGTAACAGATATAGTATGGTTCACATATTAAATTTTTCTGCCCTTTTCACTCTCACGTTCTTATAATAACAAAGAATCTTACCGTTTCCTTGATTCTCGAGATCCCCGTTATACGTTCTAAGAGACACGTGAAGACATCGCTATCAATGACACATTGACCATTGTTATTAGGTTTAAGGACGTTTCTAATCTTCATATCTATGTATAAAACTTTGTGAACTCCTGCCTATATTGGAATATATCTACATACATGTAATACGCTATAACCGTTTATACTAAGCGAAAATGTGAAATCGATTTTATGACCCAGTGAAAGTACGATAAGGTAGTCAAGAAATGAAACTACTGAAAGTACGATAAGGTAGTCAAGAAATGAAACTACTGAAAGTACGATAAGGTAGTCAAGAAAACAAACTGCTGAAGTACGATAAGGTAGTCAAGAAATGAAACTACTGAAAGTACGATAAGGTAGTCAAGAAACAAACTGCTGAAGTACGATAAGGTAGTCAAGAATACAAACTGATGAAAGTACGATAAGGTAGTCAAGAATACAAACTGATGAAAGTACGATAACGTAGTCAAGAAAGCAAACTGATGAAAGTACGATAAGGTAGTCAAGAATACAAACTGATGAAAGTACGATAACGTAGTCAAGAATACAAACTGATGAAAGTACGATAAGGTAGTCAAGAAAGCAAACTGATGAAAGTACGATAAGGTAGTCAAGAAAGCAAACTACTTTCGGGAAATTCTATGAAGACGGTCGTCTTCTACGTCATTAAAAACTTTCAGATGTATGTGTGATTTTTATACCAAAGCCATATCGAGCTATCTTTTGTGTCCACCGGGAGAATCGAACCCGTGATTTTAGCGTTGTAAATCGTTAGACTTACCGCTGTACCACCAGGCGGGGGACGAACTTTCCGAGGAAATGTAACATTATACACTGAGTGGTCACAAG